CAATCGATCACAAGAAACCCCCGCTTAGCGGGGGTTAATAACCTAGTATGTTTAAAGAGATTTTACATTTTTAAAGAGAGTTCTCGAATAATTTACTTATGAATAAAAATATTTATTTAATATTTGCTAGAAAACTACATGAAATTTTTTTGTTGCCAGAAAAATACACAAACTAATTTGGGTTGGAAATCAAAAACACTAACTAACTTTTTTTCCGATTTCCTCCCTTCGTCGCAACGGCCGTTAGCGGGGTTATCCAAATCGTCAAATTCTGTTAATTTATTTATGGAAAAATTTTTGAAAAAAAAACCCGACGTATTTTATATTTGCCGAAAAATACATGAAATTTGTTGTTGTCATAAAAATACCCAAACTAATTTAACTTGGAAATAAAGTACACGATCTACTCTTTTTTCTTAGATTTCTCCAACCAAATCGTCAAAATCTTTTAAAATTTTTTTTACGGAAAATTCCTAAAAAAACTTGACTTATTAAAGAAATTTTCTAAAACCTTTAGTTCTTCAGTAATATCAACTAAAATCATGTTATTAATGGGTAACTTTTTCTAAATTGCTAATGCTTTTTTTCCGACATCTATCATATGTGAACAACAATAAATTAAAGAAATTTTACCCACTTTGTTGCCGAAGGTTCTTCTTAATTTCTTCAATTTATTGTTGTTCGCATCGGCTACAAAAACCAATTTTATCCCCTTATAGATAGATGTCGTATGTTAAAAAATAGGATTAAATATAGATCTCGAATCAATTTTGAGTTTATAAGGGGATAAAATTGGTTTTTGTAGCCATTCTTATTTATCATGTACAAAGAAAATGAGAAAAGTAACAATATTTAATATTTCGTTAACCTGTTGATAACCGTTACAATAAAGTGGGCAAAATTGGAACAAAAAATAGGCCGTGCTTTTTATTTCAACTTTAAATTGATCTGTATATTTTTCTGACAGCGAAAAAATGTTTTGGTATTGTTTTGGCAAATATTAAATAAGTCAAGCTTTTTTCTAGAATTTTCCGTAAATAAAATTAAAAACGTTTGACGATTTGGTTAACGCCGTTAACCACCGTTACGGCGAAAGGAAATAATCGGAAAAAAAATTAGATCGTGATTCTATTTCCAACCTAAATTAGTTTGTGTATTTTTCTGGCAACGAAAAAAATTCGGGTAGTTGTCTGGCAAATTTTAAAATCAGGTTTATTTCGGGCCTTAATAGTTTAGAGTAAAGTTGTAGAAGAAAAAAAAATTAATCTATCAATTCAGGCCCACGGTAGAATTTGTCTCAGGCGCGTAAAGCTCAATACCCTAAATTTTGATCGAGCTCCGGCCAATACACAAATAACGTCCACCGCTTCCGCCGTCACGGACGGCCAACCACCGTGGAAGAAGAAGAAGCCGTCGAAAGATCCGACTTCGAACCCGTCACTTCCATATGATGTGATAGTGAGCATCTTAGCCCGAGTCTCGGGATCGTATTACAGAAATCTGTCCTTAGTCTCCAAAAGCTTCCGATCGATCCTTGCTTCACCAGAGCTTTACCAAACTCGAACCCTCGTAGGCAAATCCGATAATCTTCTCTATGTGTGCTTACGCTTCCCTGATGAGACTAATCCTCGCTGGTTCACCCTCTACCGGAAACCTAATCAAACCCTAGCCGATCACACCACTAAGAAGAAGAAGACGAAGAAGAAGAAGAAGGAGGAGAAGTCAAGTGTTAATATTTTGGCTCCAATCTCAATTCTCAACTCTCCTCCTGTTGAATGGTCAGATATCATATCTGTTGGTCATAATCTCTACGCCATTAGCGCAGATATCGAAAATGCTCCTTACTCTAACGTCATTTTTCTTGATTGTCGAACTCACACTTGGCATGAAGCTCCAAGAATGAGATTGGCTCACACCAATAGTGACTTTGATGGGAGGATGTATTTACCAGGAAGCTCTGAAAAGCCTGATCCTTTGAACTGTGTTGAAGTTTACAACACAAAGACTCAAACTTGGAAACCGGTGCTGCCCGAAAAACGGATATTCGAATTGGAAAATTTGGAAGGAAAGGTTTACTACAAGAACTTTGATTTAGTGTCTACTGGGAAAGATCTGACTTTGAGCTCTAAGTCGAAGAATTTGACGTGCGGATTGGATACGGATTCATATCGACTTTCTTCTTGTATGATAGAGAACATAACCTATCGTTATTGGGAAGGAAATTTTGTTTGGAGAAAATTTGAGGGTATAACAGTTTACAGAATGTTAAAGGGTTTAGAAGGGCTACCTAAGTTTTCTAGATATTGTACTGTTAAATTGGCGGAGTATGGCAGCAAGCTGGTGGTTTTGTGGGACAAGTATGTGCCTGCGAGTGGGTATAACGAGAAGATGATTTGGTGTGCAGAGATTTCACTTGAAAAGCGCAGCAATAAAGAGATTTGGGGGAAGGTTGAGTGGTTTGATTCGGTCCTTACAGTCCCTAAGTCTTACAAAATCTTGTGTGCTACTGCTGCTACTCTATGATTGATGACTCAGGACACAGGTATGAAGCTTTTTTTTAATTAATATGTCACAATTGAAGGAATGTCTTTATTATTATCAGAATGCAGTTGACATTGTTTTCTCTTTAGAAACATCTGTACTCATTAAAGCTTATTCTGTGACTCTCTCTTTAATGAACCCTTTGATGTCAACATGGTTATTTCTACTGTTTAATGATTCTTGAGACAAGCGGGCAATGGTCGTTTTTTGTTCTGAATGTATGTGTTATAAAATGCCTATTGTATCTATATATATGTGTGACTATGATTGACCCTTCTCTCATGCTTTTAGCGGACATAATTCATTTCTAAACATATGCCCTCACTTTCGTCTATGAAAACTTTTGTTTGTGTTGAGTAGAATGGTATGGTTCTCTTTAGATTAACGAGAACTAAAGCAAGATATCCAGTGCTTGTTTTGTATAGTCCTTTGGGTCTGTCATTGATGTAATGAATGACCAAGTTGCTGCAAAACAGCCTTATGTTCATCTCTTGTAGCCAACCTACAAAGAAATCGCCACCGAATTAATTTATGGATCCTCTGATTCATTGTCAAACCGGATCTTGAATTTGATATTATACGTGTTTAGTTTGTATAATCTTAAATAGTAGTTCATTGTCAATCCTCTGTTAGCATCATTTGCATTTAGTTGTTTCTTTTCTTTTTTTCGGCTTGTAACCGCTTTGGCGGAGCGTATGACTAAGTGTTTAGCGGTCGTAATCCGCGGTTGTAATGAAAGGGTATGTGTAAACCCGAATTTTGTAAAGAGGGTATGTGTAAACCCGCCTTTTGTAAGAACGGTATGAATGAAAGATATGTTTATGAGGAAAACAAAGTCTTGTCATTGGATACCTTGGGTTTTGTGATGAACGGAATCGTGATGATGTGATGCGGAAAAATTTTGTGGTGCTTGAGGGTACAAGGAAGTACATCAAGAGATTTTTGTGATGCGTTGTTTGATCATCTTGGGAACAAGGATGGTTATTCTAAAGGGAACTTTCAAAAATACGGAAATTTTTGAAGTGTTTGAACTTAGTTTATCTATGTGAGATAACTAAGTAGTTATGTTGTTTAAGTCTCAAGTAGCGGAATACTTGTGAATTGAACGAACAAGTGTAGGATGGCGTGGAGAAATGAAAGGAACCGGATCAAGAGGAAGGATCGCGGACTTGCCTTGTCATGATCACGCTAACTTCAATCGAGAAGGAGAAGATCTTCAAGATTGGAGTGCTGAATCTCCGGAGGGAGAATTGTTTCCGTGTAGTTGATCATAAGTTCTAGGATCACTACATAAGGGAAGGGCCTAGATGGTTGGGGTTTATTTAAGACAAGGAAAGGAAAGTCTTGAGTAAGAATTCCAATCCATGAGCTTAAGGCCAAGAGTGTTGAGAACTTCGTTTGGGCTTCAAGTGGAAGTTATACACTCGCATGAATGAGAATTTGTGAGGATCGGAATGGATTGAGAATCCAAGTTCCGTAGATCCCCGGGATGTTAAGCCGGAAGCTTAAGTACTTAAACAACCGAGAAGCTCGACGATCAAGAATTTCAAGGAAGTTCTAACCAAGTGAAGAAAGCCGACGATTTATCTCGTTAGGAATTCGGGACGAATTCCGATGAGAGGGGGTGAATGTAGTGACCCGTTCTCGGGCATAAAATTTGTCCGGACGGATCGCGTCCTGAACCAAGTGCCGGAGTCGAGCAAAAGTGAAAGTCTCTCGTGTTCGAAGGACTTGGACGAAAGTTAGGACTTTTCGACGAGAAACAGTTAATATTTCTCGAAGAAATGAGTTTTGATCAAAGGAAACTCGTTTTGGCTACGACTTGAGCATGCCGTGTGGGCGCACCGTGGCTAAGGATGACTTAGCACGTGGTTTAGATGATTCTTGGGATGGTCGAATCTAGAGAAAGATTGAAAGGAAAAAATTCCGAGAATCGAGGTAAAGGCGTCAGAAAAGTAATCATTTGTCGGAGAGAGAGACTCCACCTTTTTGACGAAACCAAGGTAATGATTATATCTCTGGCCCAATCAAAGGAAAGATATTGCCTTTGGTATAAGTTACCTTCCTTGGGCGAAATCGAGGCAATGATTAGTTCTGAACCAATCTTTGAAGAGGAATATAACCAAGGGTGCAAGTTACCTCTTTTGGACAAAACGAGGTAATGATGGGCTTGGGAGGCACGAACACCGAGCCAATCGTGGAGAAGGAGTATTGCCATGAGGTGGGCGACACGAACTTCGAACCAATCGTAGAGGAAGAGTGTTGCCATGAGTTGGGCGACACGAACTACGACCCAATCACAAGGAAACGTGTTCCATAGGGTTGGGCAACGCGAACTCCAAGCCAATGGGTGGAAGAGTGTCCTTGTGGGTTTGAGTCACCCAAGACGCGACATGTGTCCGTCATGCGTCAAGTCTCGTCCTCTATAAATAGTACCAAGGCTTTAGGGCTCAAGTCATTCACCATAAGTTAGAGAGTAATCGTGAGAGAAAGAGAGTGCTCTCGGAAATCTCCGGTGAAGTGACGGCCGCTCCTAAAGCTGACGGTAGAGGTGGACGACGTAGTTCTGGACGACGGAGTTCCAGACAAAGTACCAAACCAGAAGTTCCCGATCAGAGTAGTTATTCCGCTGAGACATCACGATCATCCGATCCGCTTAATCACAGTGAGTTACGAAGCATGTGTGGTGGCACATGATTTTCTTTGTGTGCTTGCTTGTTGGTTGTGTACTTTTTGTTGTTGTTGTTGATTGATCGTAGAATTGATAAGGATTATCATTCATGTCATGTATGCTTGATGCTTTAAGTACGCTTCGTCGTAGCTTAGTTGCATGCATATATTGTTTGTGGTGTTCGAGTGCGCTTCCCTGTTTTTGTTGGACTCGGAGAGACTGGGTCGCTCCCAAAGGGCCGAGTGGTTGCATGACGATGCAACGGGGATTGCCCGTCGTGGAAGGCCCATGTGGTACATCGCTTGTAGACTTGGTGGCTACTAGCGGATTGTTCACTTGATTCGATGGGAAGGATCGTTCACATGGCCATAGGATTTTTGTTGTTGTTGTTATCATTTACCCGTGCATGCATTATATTGCATAACTGTTGCATTTGATTTACTTGTTGATTATTGCATGCTATTGATTGCTTGTTGCTTGACTAACGTTTATTGTTTTGGGTTGGGTTGTTTAGCTTCCGAGTTCAGGCGCCGAACTAACTAAGTCTTAGCACTTATGATTCCATTTTTGTTGCAGGAAACCTTAGAGGGAAAAGCCGTAGAGGGTCGTTGGGACAATAGGATCTTGGTGTAGATTGTTGGGTAGAAATGTAAAGGCTACTATTGTGTATTATGTATTGTGAAATGGGATCCCCGGAAACCTTATATGATTGTTTGTGCGATTTGTACTATATTATACTAAGTATAAAAAGGTTTTCTCAAAATGGGGATGGCTTGATGATATAAGGTTCTGTCCGAACCGCACAACTCCCTTTCCCGGTAAAAGGTTGGCAAGCCGGATATCGGGATTGGGAGGGACGGTACTTAGGATAGGCGGACTAAGGTGGCTAGTTTTGTACTGAAACCTCGGTCTGTTCGTTCAAGGTACTTGTCACCTGTAACGGGCTTGCCGGACTTATGTCTAGTACGGTTCAGGGTCGTTACAGTTTTAGGTGGTATCATTAAATAGTAGTATTTAGGTGGTATCAGAGCATGGTTACAGATGCTCGGGAACCATCCCGCTTTTCAAATGTTTTATCGAGTCAAAATTGAGTCGCATTTCTACCTTAGGATAAACCAAGTTGTCTCAACGTGGGGTCTAGGTAGATGGGAATGTTTAGGACTAACCTTGCTTTGATGATGCAGATGCCTTCGCGACACACTAGACTTTCGGGCGGACGACTATGGGATTTTCCGTCAAACGCTGGTCCAAGCAACATGTACGGGAATAGTGGTGATAGTTCTGACGATTCTGTGATTCCGTCGGAACATGTGAGACGGATGTTGGAAGGATCGGAATCGGAGTCTTTCATGGCTACGAGTCCTTCGGTGACTTCGGTTGAATCCATTTCCACGAGGGAGATGGTAGGTTCGGATAGTTCGTTTGAGACGGATCCATCGGAAGATCCTGAGGAGTTTGAGGATATCGTCGAGACGAGTGTGGAGTCTGACGAAGTTGTGCCCTTAGTGGATTTGGGAGGAAACCTTGGAAGTGTTCCGGTTTCGGATTTTGTGGTACTTTCTGACGATTCCGTGGAGGATTTTTCGGACGAGTTTGAGGAGCCTGAGGAACAGATGGCGACTGGTTTTCTCTTCGGAGATAGCGACATTGATGAGCCGATGTGGGAAGGCCCTGATGGAGTTCTGTACGAGTTCAACTCGGATGATTCGTGGCAGCCAGGAGTTCATGCGAATCCGTACTATTATCCTCCGTCGCCGGATAGCTTGTTGACGTTGGATTCGTTCAGCTCAATGTCCTTGGGGACAGACTTTGGTGTTTCTGATGCACCTTCGGAAGATAATGCTTCGCGCGATTCTGACAGTATTGTGTTTTTGCCGACGGAATATGGGATTCCAAGGCAAGCCTTGGCTTACAACATGGTGCCGCCGAGTGAAGTGTTTGCTACACCGCCTGGTCCGCCGTCTCCGGATTTTGTTGAGCTATCATCGGATGATGAGTTAGCTGATGCTGAAGAATCGTGAACAGAGTTGCCAATCCCTAACTTCGTGAAGGCTGAATCTTTGAATATGAGGGTAAAAAGAATCCCTCATGGGAAAAAAGAGTAAACTAAATACGACTATGTTCGATTAAGAAGAAATGAAATAGTAGCTTGACAAAGTACAACATTGTAAATACTTTACTTAGGAGGATGTTTATATGAAACATAGTACTCGACTAAAAGGAGGAATCTCATGCGATCGACTTGTGGTTTTTGTCTTGGTTAGATCTTCAAATTGACTTTTGCCTCTTTCTTTATTTTTCCGATATTTCCGCCTCTTTCACAATTTCTATAATTAGGCCCACAAAAAAAAATAACCCCTCCATAATTTCAATGAAATCAAAATCGCCACTCGAGCTAGTAAATTGCACTCGCTCGAGAAGTCTAGCAGTGAAGTGAAGTTAAATCCCTAGAAGAATTCTCTGCACGACGGGGAAGAATATATCTTACAATATTGCAACTAATATTCTCCCAACATTCTTGGGTGAAGAGTATGGATCTCTCCTCTAATCTTAGCAAACACCATATTAGGGTCCACATTACCTCTTCGAGTCCAAACACAGCTATAATTTCTCTTCCCGTTATGCTGACATGCTCGTCGAAGAGTCTTCGGAAGAACATATTCATTTTTTTCCCATATATAAGACCTTCTTGATCATACTCATGTGATGGGATAACAACATCCGGGAGATGGTCAAAAATGTGGATCCTTGATCACCAAATATCCACATAAGCTTATATTGGGTTGTTTTACGCTTACTAAAAGCAGGGCAAGCCTGTGTTTCCAACCTTTAAAGACTTTACTAATTTTAGGGTCAATATTTTAGTGAAAAGACTTTACATGTGTTTCCTTATGCTACTAGAGGTAAATGGTTTTAGGTGTTGATTGGATCTCCCGCTATCACCCGTCTAGCGGTTGTTAGCGGACGGTTGCGGTTGTTAACGGTTGGTACCAATCGTAGAAACCATTCTATACCGCTTCAAACCGTTCGAAATCACTGGATTTCAAAAGCTCATTTTATGGTTGGTTTAAAACAAAATAAAAAAATAAAAAAGGAAAATAAGCAAATTAAAATATATCAAGTTCTGTATATATTCACATTAATTCTCAAACAATAATCATTATCTAACTTTAATTTTCCAATATTAATAATTATTTGTGTTTCACTATAAAAATATTTGTTTAATATTTGAATAATTATTTAGTAATTATTTATGGTTTTAGTTATTAATCATGTTTAAAAAATTTCTACTTTTTCATAATTATAGTTTTTAGTGTTGTTATACTTTTACACAATTATATATTACATTTTTTTGGTAAATCTCCCGCAAACGCATCATTTTTAACCGCTAAACCAGTCGGTCAAAACGCTATATAGTGTTTGAAACCGCAACCGCCTGCTTCCGTAAACTCTCACAACCGCTGCGTTTAAACCACTCAAGCTTTTAATGCCTGATCATATTTAATTTCCTTATGCTTTTTTTACATTAATTTATTAGTGCAAAAAGAAATTCATGTTTGGAAACTCTTTTTTATTAAGATCGATCAACCAGTCGGTGGCTACATCGACGACATGATCTATTTTCTTCTTGTTTTCGTTAATTGCTTGTTTCTTATGCAAAGTAAAACATCTACTGGAGAGAATTGATGTTTCTACTTGCGATCATTTTAAAATTTCCATTAGTTAATTATTTGACATTTTCAAGTTCATAAAAAATCTAACAAATTGATAGTAACTTAAATATAAACAAATATATTATGGATATAGCTCAATCAGTATTAATATATTTGACGTCGTTAATTATAAATTATATTATTTCTAAACTTATATAATTATTTAGCTGAAATATTTTATGTGGTGTTATTCCTAGTCGGCTTCATTATTAATATTTTATGTGATGATTAATGTAATGTGTAAATATACAAACTATTTTATTATTTTTTTTGTTATCTGATTAATTAGCAAACGTAAATATAAAATTACAGATCAAGACAACAAAGGAGGTTCGACGCCCCTTCATTGATATGAATAAATAGATTACAAAAATAAAATGTTTTCTCGAATATGAAAGAAAATATTTTGGCACAAAAGGAAAAAGCAAAAAATATAGAATTTGTTTCGGCAGAAAAGGAAAAGTATTGAATATCGAAATATATTGGCAAAGGATAATGAAACCATATATTCTCTAACAAACTTGGATCGAATTGCATGTATCCCTATATATACCGGTATAAATACACGAACTACATTAGTCCAAAATTCAGAAATCTCTTTCTTCCAAAGCAAAGCAAAACTCTGACTTCGGAAGATTTAACCTACGTTTGTCGATCTCAAAGCAAAAACCTAATCATCATCATGTCTTTGTCTCCAAGAACAACCGTTTTTTTGGTTTTGTGTTTTCTGTTCGTGCTCGCTCCATACCTCACTAGAGCAACAACCGATGAACTTCAAGCTAGATGCGACTCACATAGCTTTAACAACGGCAAAAACTTCCGTTCATGCGTTGACCTTCCCGTGTTAGATTCTTTTCTACACTTCAGTTACGTTCGAGAAACCGGAGTGCTTGAAGTTGCGTATCGTCACATCAACGTTGAATCTTCTAGTTGGATCGCTTGGGGGATAAACCCGACAAGCAAAGGCATGTCAGGTTCTCAAACTCTCTTGGCTTACCGTAATTCCACGTCTGGTGTTATGCGTGTCTATACTTCCTCAATCAAAGGCTACTCACCTACTCTTCAAGAAGGTCCTCTCAGCTTTCGTGTATTGCAACTATCTGGTGAATATCGCAATGGAGAGATGACTATATTTGCTACTATAGTGTTGCCTTCTAACATAACCGTCGTGAATCATTTATGGCAAGACGGTCCCTTGAAGGAAGGTGATAGACTTGGGATGCACGCCATGAGTGGAGATCATCTTAAATCCACGGCTACTTTGGATTTGCTGTCCGGACAAGTCATGGCCTCGAAAGCAGCTAACGATAACATGTTACTAGTCAAAACAATTCATGGACTAGTGAACGCGGTGTGTTGGGGTATTTTCATGCCTATTGGTGTCATAGCTGCAAGGTACATGAGGACTTACAAAGGACTGGATCCCATGTGGTTCTACATACACATCATTTTCCAAACCACCGGTTATTTCGGTGGTTTATTGGGAGGACTAGGAACTGCAATCTACATAGCTAAACACACGGGAATGAGATCTACAACGCATACCGTGATAGGGATCGTTTTGTTCGCTCTAGGTTTTCTACAGATACTTGCCCTCAAAGCAAGACCGGACAAGGAGCATAAGTATAGAAAATATTGGAATTGGTACCATCACACTACGGGATATGTAGTGATTATACTAAGCGTCTACAACATCTACAAAGGCTTAGCCATCTTGCAACCCGGAAGCTCATGGAAGATTGCTTACACTACCATCATCGGAGTCATTGGAATGTTCGCGATCGTAATGGAGATTATCCAATTTAAAAATAGATGGGGCAGCTTGTGCTGCAAGGAATCTGAAGACCTAAAAGCTGATCAAACTGTTTCTACTAATGTGTAGTCTTCGTGTGTTCGTTTGTCTTCTCTTTTCTTCTATCTCCTTAATGTTCCTTTTCGCTAATAATAGTTTGTCATTCTTTGGTATAATGTTCCCCTTTTTTATCTGTAGAAGATTTAGTTTTGAATGAAAGTTCCTTTATCGAATAAGTAAACAACAATTTTGAATATTTTAATGGGATTTTACATTGCTAAGACTAGTTTGTCATGTTTGCGTTTACTTGTAGAAGAATTACTTCTCAGTACACGTTTACAACAGAAAAAAATACTTAAGAACTAGAGGCTCATCAAACTCCTTCAACAGTATGTGATAGATTGCTTAAGATCGTATGCAATTCGATGACTAATTTTTTTAAGGTTGTGTTACCTTTGTATTTACATAGTTAAGACTAATTTGTTATTACTTGTAGAAGATTTCCTTCTGAATGAAAGTTTTTTTTTCATTCAAAAATCAAATAAGAGTTCTCGAATAATTTACTTATGAATAAAAATAATTAATAGTGTAGAATTAAAAAAAAATTAATCTCTAAATTTAGGCCCACGGTAGAATTTATCTCAGGCGCGTAAAGCACAAAACCCTAAATTTTGATAGTTCACAAATGTCGTCCACCGCTTCAGCCTTCACGGACGGCCAACCACCGTGGAAGAAGAAGAAGCCGTCGAAAGATCCGACTGCGAACCCGTCAATTCCATATGATTTGATAGTGAGCATATTAGCCCGTGTCTCGAGATCGTACTACACAAAACTCTCCTTAGTCTCCAAAAGCTTCCGATCGATCCTTGCTTCACCGGAGCTATACCAAACCCGAACCCTCTTAGGCAAAACCGAGACTTTTCTCTATGTGTGCCTACGCTTCCCTGATGAAGCTAACCCTCGCTGGTTCACTCTTTACCGGAAACCTAATCAAACCCTAACTAAGAAGAAGAAGAAGAAGAAAGAGGAGTCGAGTGTTAAACTTTTGGCTCCAACCCCAGTTCTCAATTCTCCTCCTGTGGAATGGTCAAGTCTCATCGCTATTGGTTCTACTCTTTACGCCATTACCGCAGCCATCGACGATTCTCCATGCTCTAATGTTTGGTACCTTGACTGTCGAACTCACACTTGGCTTGAAGCTCCAAGAATGCGACTGGCTCACACCAATAGTAAGTTTGATGGGACTATGTATTTAGCAGGAAGCTCTGAAAATCCAGATTCTTTGAACTGTGTTGAAGTGTACAACGCAATGACTCGAACTTGGAACCCCGTGCCGCCCCGAAAACGGATATTAAATTTGGAAAATATGGAAGGAAAGATTTACGTGAACGTTTGTGTAGAGTCTACGAAGGAGGTTGTGCTTGTAACGCCAAAGGTTAATACATGGGAAGCGTTAGGATTGGAAACGGATTTGGATCGGGGTTCTCTTTGTACGATAGATAACGTAGTCTATCTTTATCACCCTAGTGGAGTATTTATATTTAGAAAAAGTTTCACTAAGGGAGCAGTAGTTTGGGGAACATTACAGGGTGTAGAAAGGCTACCTAAGTTTGCTAAATACAGTGCTGTTAAATTAGCGGATTATGGTGGTAAGCTGGTTGTTTTGTGGGACAAGTATATAGTTGCAAGTGGGTATAAGGAGAAGATGATTTGGTGTGCAGAGATTTCGCTTGAAAAGCGCAACAATGAAGAGATTTGGGGGAAGGTCGAGTGGTTCAATGCGGTGCTTAAAGTCCCTAAGTCTTACAAAATCTTGTGTGCTACTGCTGCTACTCTTTGATTAATGACTCAGGACACAGGTATGAAGCTTTCTTTTATTTAGTTTGTCACAGTTGAAGGAATGTCTTGTCTTTTTAGCGGGATGCAGTTGACATTGTTTTCGCCTTCTAAATATTCCGTGACTGTCTCTTTGATAAACCCTTTGATGCCAAACTCTTTCTGCTACTGTTTAATGACTCATGAGAAAAGCGTGCAATGGTCGTTTTTGTTTTGAATGTATGTGTTTGCCTATATGTATATATGAATGTATGATGAATGCTTCTCTCATGCTTTTAGCGGACATTGTTTCACTTCTAAACATATGCACTCACGTGTAGACTGATTAAGCTTACTTTGTCAATGAGCTAGAATACTTTTGTTTGTGTTGCATAGAAGAGTACAGTTCTCTTTAGTCTTTACATTCACGAGAAGAGCTAAAACAAGATACAGAGTTAGTACTTGTTTTGTTGTATTAACTGAGGCTTATGTTAATCTCTTGTAGTTGTAGCCAACCTAACCTACAAAGATCCTATGTTTCACTCTTTCTGTTCTTCTCAATCGAACATATTATTATCCAATTATATACTCTCTATCTTTTATGATTCAATTCAAGTTAGATTCAAGTGCACACAAAATTAAATTGATCATATGTCCCAAGCGCTACTGTTATTTTTGAATTGTGTTAACATTTTGAAGGGTTACTTGTTTTGTGCCATTGACCACTATTATGCATTTGAAATATCTTTTTTTGTTGTTGTTGAATATACGTGTAAGAAATAAGTGTAACAAAAAAACATATACTTGATGAGTTTTTGGTCCTCTATTAAACAAACAAATTGGACTTATGAATGATCTAGTGTGAAAAGAGAGAGGTTTAATTGTTCTGTGTGCCAAAAAAGGAAGAATCTGTTAGAAAAGTTAGTGACTCACTAAAAATATCTGTTCTTTTGATGAATTCTTGGTAGTTTGGTTTGGTTTTATTTTATTCTGATTCAGTTTGGTTTGAGATGGGATGATTTCATATATAAATTTTAGGATCCTATGTTTCATTACCAAACGGGATCTTGAATTTGTCTAGCCATTTTTTTTATTTTCTTCTCAAACTAACATAGTCATCACAATTCAGTTAACTTATTATCCATTTTTATACTCCTTTTTTATATATATAAAATTTTTAAATCAAGTTAGATTCAAATGCACACAAAACGAATCCATCATATGAACTAACCTCTACTAGTAATATATTTGGGTTGTGATGGCGACTCAAAATTATTCTTTTGAGGCCCATTGAGAGTCAATAAAAATGATTTAGATCATTGTTTTAAGGCCCATTAAGAGAATGAAAATGATTTAGATCATTTCTATAAGGCCCATGCTCGAAGAATTTACTAGCAGTGAAGTGAGAGTCTGAGACTGAGAGTGATGTCAAATCGAGGAAAACTGTTTCCAGAGAGAAGAGGAAGTAAAAGAGGTAGTCTCGTCTCGCCAATGTCGTCTCCAGAGAAGAAGAGGAAGAAGAAACGGTCGCTTACGCTGTCACCGGAATCGACCCCAAATCCGTCACTTCCAGATGATTTGGTAGTGAGCATCTTAGCCCGCGTCTCGAGATCGTACTACACAAATCTCTCCTTAGTCTCCAAAAGCTTCCGATCGATCCTTGCTTCACCGGAGCTATACCAGACCCGAACACTCTTAGGCAAAACCGAGACTTTGGTCTATGTATGCTTACGCTTTCCTGATGAAGCTAACCTTCGTTGGTTCATCCTCTACCGGAAGAAGCCTAATCAAACCCTAACCATGAAGAAGAAGACGAAGAAGAAGAAGGAGGAGAGTTCAAGTGTTAATCTTTTGGCGCCAATTTCAATTCTCAGCTCTCCTCCTGTGGAATGTTCAGCTATCATATCCGTTGGTCATTATCTCTACGCCATTAGCGCAGATATCGAAAATGCTCCTTACTCTAACGTTCCTTACCTTGACTGTCGAACTCACACTTGGCTTGAAGCTCCAAGAATGAGATTTGAAGGGAGGATGTATTTACCAGGAAGCTCTGAAAAGCCTGATTCTTTGAACTGTGTTGAAGTTTACAACACAAAGACTCAGACTTGGAAATCGGTGCCGCCCGAAAGACGGATTTCAAAATACAGAAATATGGAAGGAAAGATTTACAGGAGCCTCACTGCAGAGTCTCCTAGGGTGGCTGTGGCTTTAAAGCCAAAGGATAAGACATGGGAAATGGATACGGATATGGTTCAGGGTTCTATTTGTATAATAGAGAACATAGCCTATTGTTATGACCCTAGTGAAAAGTTTAGATGGATAAATTTTAACACTAAGGGAGCAGATTGGAGAAGATTAGAGGGTTTAGAAGGGCTACCTAAGTTTGCTAATTATAGTACTGTTAAATTAGCGGATTATGGTGGTAAGCTTCTTGTTTTGTGGGACAAGTATGTAGCTGCAAGTGGGTATAAGGAGAAGATGATTTGGTGTGCAGAGATCTCGCTTGAAATGCGCAACAATGAAGAGATTTGGGGGAAGGTCGAGTGGTTGGATGCGGTTCTTACAGTCCCTAAGTCTTATAAATTCGTGTGTGCCAAATCTGCTACTGTTTGACAGGTTTGAACCTAATGAATCTGGTTATATCACTTTCTTTCTTTCTGTAGTATGTCACTTATGAAGGAAGGTTTTGTGTTTCTAGCGTAATGCAATGGACATGTTTTTGCTTACCCACTTGCTTTGTAGATGACTTAAGCTTATTTTGTGAGTTTCTGTAAAGAAAGCATGTGATGAAATTAGCAGCAAAAATATACGAAGAACAAAAAGGAAAAGCGTAAGACATTGACATTGTCGTTGCTTATGAATATCTGGAGTGACTTGGTTGTAGATGACTTAGCTTAAGTTTTTTACTGCCAGTTTGATCCCAAATTCTTTATGCTACAGTTTGATGAATGACTAATGAGACTAGCGGGTAATGTCGTTTTGGTTCTGAGTTGTATGTGTTGCAAAATGTCTATATATATATGTGACACTGTTTTCATTTCTAAACATATGCACTCACTTGTAGACTGATTAAGCTTACTTTATCTTAGAAAACACTTTTGCTTGCATTGTATAGAAGAGTACAGTTTTCTTTACATTCACGAGAAGAGCTAAAACAAGATAGACATGCTTGTTTTGTATAGTCCTTTTGGGCATTCTCATTGAATGTAATGAATGACCATTGTGTAGAAAAAACGTGGTTTTGTTGTTTAAGCTGAGGCTTATGTTCATATCTTGTAGCCAACCTACAAAGGAATTGCGACTCAAAATTTGAGGATCCTTTGTTTCATCCCCAAATGGGATCTTGAATTTGATAAATTATAAAAGTGGACTTTGTCAAGCCACTTTTGCTTGTCTTTATGCAAAAAAACGAAAGAA